TTAACATCAGGTAGGCTGTGAGCTCCTCCACCCATCTAAGCAAAAAAAAACACTTTTACGATTTTATCTCTCAGATTTATGGTAATCTCTCTCTCTCTCTCTCTCGATCTTCATGGTCACGGACGACTCACATGCTTAGAGTATACATAGCTTGCTTATGTATACTCTAAGCTCACATGCATTTAACAACTGCTATGCTAAAATCATGACAAAAAACTTCTTCAACTATGTGAATGGAGTAAAATTTATTGTAGTTCAATTAAAAACGGACCTTTAATTACAAAGATAAATGTCGCGTATTAAGTGAAATAAAAGTAATAAATCGCGTCATAAATTCAAGCATATTTTCGCTGTTTCTTCAAAAAAAAAAACGTACCTACGAAGTTTCTATTTTTAAATTTCACTATTCTACACAATTCTTTTCTTATCTGATTGGCTAATGGACAAGTGACAATGACGGGTTTCCGTTTGACAGCAAATAAATAAAAAAAAAAACGTTTTTTGGCAAACTATAAAACTAAGCCAAAAATAAATCTCCAGTCTTTGCGAAGGGGACACCGTGAACTGCCAATGAGGTTTGCTATCCAACACGTCATGATACTCGCCGCTGATTGGCCGAGCACTCACAACGGTATTCCATTTCTACAAAGCTACATTTGGAAGCTTATTTGTTAGTGCTTTATTATATATTATTTGTTCATGATGACTACAGTTACAACTAACAAAAGTGTGCCTGTTAACTAAAAAAGAAGACATGAAGATATTTTATAGAAGACGAAGAAGATATATTTTTATGGAAGAAGTTTTATAGAAGACATGAGATGATATTATTTGTCGATCTGCTTAGTTATATAGGCTGACTGATTGTATTTATCTTAAAGGTTAGGTTTCTTTTAATGCATTGACAAGTGATTTACAGGATCAGCTGGTACTTATGATGCGGCTATTCGTTGAAAGATATGAAGATGGGACTGGGACTCTAACTGGGTACCTATCAACCTTAAGTAGCGATCTGTGGTCTTATACCGCTATCTGGCTCACACAAATATTTGCCTTGTGTACCGGTGATAAGGGGCGTTATAGTTTGGCTATCAGTCTTTTTTTTATTGCTTAGGTGGGTGGACGAGCTTACAGCCCACCTGGTGTTAAGTGGTTACTGGAGCCCATAGACATCTACAACGTAAATGTACCACCCACCTTGAGATATAAGTTCTAAGGTCTCAAGTATAGTTACAACGGCTTCCCCACCCTTCAAACCGAAATACACCACTGCTTCACGGCAGAAATAGGCAGAGTGATGGTACCCGTGCGGTCGATGGCACTATACGGAGCACCCGTCTGGTGCCACGTCCTTACCCACGAGAACGTCGCCGCGCTGCGACGCCGGCAGCGCGCGATCGCAGTCAGAGTTATTCAAGGATACCTCACAGTCTCCTACGAGGCGGCGCGCCCTAGCGCTTCACGCATTACTGCTTCACGGCCGAAATAGGCAGGGTCGTGGTACCTACCCGCGCGGACTCACAAGAGGTCCAACGACCAGTAAAAACTACATTGACGGTTAAAATATATTTTGAAACAAATACACGAAACTTTACTTCTATAATGCTAAAGTGTCATGGTGAGTTGATTAAAATCAATTGTTTCATGATCCTAATAATAATTAGATACGTCCTTTTTACAATTGCTCTTTTACGACGAGCCGCTAATTATTTCTGAAGAAACGCCATTTAATTCCTTCGCTTAATTGGTTCTATTCGATGTCCAATGCGGCCCCACACTCGTGACTCTTTGATCTACTGAATTGTGTACGTTAATTCGCCAAGATCCATTATTTATTGTTTGTGCGGATTCTAATGGCAATCCGAAGCTACCGCATTGCATCATCTACGCATGTTAATGAATTTTAACTACACTAACTTAAATTTTATTGCTTGAGCTTAAAAGATAAAGATAAAAAAAATGTTTCGGTTTTTTTTTTTTGTTTTTTTTTAGTCGTGATTTTGTGTTTTTCAACCTACGATTGCTTCCAAGAAATAGTAGATATGCGAGAAAATTTTAATAATAAGTAAATAATTGATCTTTAGGTCGCGACACCCAGAATAAAGATAAATTAATCACGCAACATAACAATTAGCGCGGTAACGTTTTTAACAACAATTATCCTCTTTGCTTTTGGGATTTGAATAAAAATCCCAAAAGGCGATCACGTTCCAGATTCGTGTTTTTTTTTTTTTTTTAACGACCGAATAAACAAAGTCGTTTCCTTGTTACTTTCACGGAGAATAAACAACGTGTTTATAGACTAACGTGCCGATTTTAATCCGCAACTAAACGGAATACANGAGAATAAACAACGTGTTTATAGACTAACGTGCCGATTTTAATCCGCAACTAAACGGAATACAAGCAAACAAAGTCTTTTAGTACATTCACGGAGTCGATTGATCGATTTATGTTGGTTGCCTTGTTACAAACGTACGTTTAGTGGAAAAAAAAATTAAACCTGGTTTAAAAACTGAAATAAAAAAAACAGTTTTAAACAGAAAACCGATTTTTTTTTGTTTATTAATTTCACATTTTTTTATCTTGTTGATACTGATCAGGATATATGACTTGAAGAGCAAGACATATCGAATTTACTTCCGATAAAGGGACAGAGAGGGAAAAAGCTGTGTTAAGATCCAAGTTTTTGGTGGAACTTTTGTCAGCCGGTTTTGATGTAGAATTTCTAAGACGGATGTAAACATTAATGTAATTTTTCGAACTCTCCTTTGTTTTTTGTTATTAGTTTGTTTGTGTCAATTGTGTGTGTGTGTTTATCATTCGAGACGCTATTTTAGGCGACACAATAAAATTTTTGCAATGTGTTTTTAAAAAGACCGTTTATTATTGTTCATAGGCCACTAAATATCTTAAAATCCTAAGTTCAAGCTCATTTTGTATTTCCAGCTCTTCAAGACCGCTCGTAAAAGGAAAATTAGTATTGACAACATCAGGGATACATTCCAAATCATCAACGTTTAATATTTTGTTAATAATAACAACGTTAAATACTTCACACTTGAAGAACCTCAAATATCTCGTTACATATAGAGAAGAGGACTGGACCTTTATGCTGTAAAACTGACAAGCACTGGAGCCGACAGGTTCTGAAGTTGAGACCATGTGTCAGTAAAATATAATGTGGTGCGCTCTTGCACAGATGGAGCGTAGATTTGTCAAGAGTAGGCGGCAAGAAACGGATGAGGAGAGGTCAAGATCGGGCTGAGTCACGTAAATTAGGAGAGGCCTGTGTCCGTTAGTGGGCTGATGATGATGATTATGAAATGAGCAGTAAAGGATCAACAGCTGCTAATGGTGCCTATAAAGACCACAATACCCGTATCTTGTACGTGATATAAAGTACATTCATCCACTTCTATAATGCTAGGTGTTTTTAGGTACCACAAGCACCGGTCACCGTCCTTGTCGAACCCGTCGCTTGCGACGAAGGGCTCGACGAGCGAATTAATCCATAGACACAGCCCACTGGGTATCTCGCCGGATCTTCACAGTGGGTCGCGTTTCCGATCTGGTGGTAGATTCTGCAAAGCACTGCTTTTGCTAGGGCCAGTGTTAGGAACACTCCAGTTTGAGCTCCGTGAGCTCATCTACATATTAGGGCGAAGCTGAAATAGCCTCTCAAGGCTGGCTATCAGCCTAGGTAGGAAAAAAATTGTTAGATAACTGATTATTGATAATTTTCTACATCCAAAATAAAGTTAATTAAATCACATTGAATGATCGAAGATCGTTTATGGCCTTAACCGGAACTTGAAAGGCCAAAGACAAATTGGCTAAGAATTAATTTGGGTTTTTTTTTTAAATAACGAATCACTTCATTGGCATTCGCCGTCTAATGGACTTCCAATCTTAAACATTTATGGAAATAAATTTACAACAAACTGTTTTTGAAGACAATAAAAAATAAAAACAGTATCTTAATGAGATTAAATTCGTTTATTTATTGTATAATTAGAGATATCAGTTTTTAGATTGTTTTTAAGATAAAATTGTAATGCAGTTCTTTTTTTTTCTGAGATATTTTTTAATCCATAATAAGCAACAATTACAATTCAAAAAAATCAATGCATCCGTGGTTTGCGTTCGAGTCAAAGAAAATTTAACAACGAACATGGATAAGACAATTAAAATGACTTATCTTTACTTGATTATCATTAATATACGTAAAATAATGAACGCTCAGTACAAAAATCTCTTGGAGAAAACAAATAATATAACCCGATACGGTAGTTACAGTGGACGACTGTAACGGAGCTGTTTTGTTTTTGTCTGAATGTCAATCGTTCAAAGCATGACCTTATTGACTGATGAAATAATTCAAGAGGAAATAGAAATACAATATCCAAAGCAAAGCAATCGTAAGCTATTACTTAATTTAAACAAAAAAAATATTTTTCTTGGTACTATCTCTACTGAAGCTCGCAAGTCTGAAGGTATGGGAACGCAGAGAGCACAGGTAGACCGAGTCAACGATACTAATCGTCTAATAATACCAGGAGTCTTGGCTTCAGCCCAACTTAGGGATGCTGAACGCCAAAAATCAAAAATAAAAAGTTAAACCGCTTGTTTGATGTCGGCCTTTGTGTGTTTTTTACGCGATGATTCCTTTATTCGATTCACTTGTTGATCGTTGTTCTATTGTTTGTCGTTACTAAGTAAACAGTTCGTTAGCAACAGAGCTGCGTTGTCTTTCTACATTCGAGTCGTGTCGAAAGTCGATTATCACTTTCGCTAATCCTTAGTACTTAGTTCATTTGTTTGATGTGTTACGTTCGAAACGCGATGTCTCGGATCTGACAGTTTGATTGCTATCCCCCGAATTATGATCGACGACATTTTTATTTTTTTTGCATTAATTCCAGGTCATAACAACCTTGGTGCTATACGTGTTTTACAACGTCCTGTATTAAATTATATTTTAATGTTCGATAACTTACCGATTCGATATAGTTCTGAGGCCGGGTCGCCTGCAGAAAACGAGTAGGGCGAGCGAGTTTGCCGCCGTCGACACAAGGAACAGCGCTAGGAGTAATATCTCCTCCACGAGTCGATCCTTCGCGTCCATCCCCATCAGAGCTTGTCCCGGAGACATGAGCGTCGACTGTTCCATGTATATATCATCACTAACACAAAACACTTGCAACTCAACACTTGGTTCGATTGTTTCGATTTGCACTGTTTGTCGCGTGAGGTAAACGAGAACACGCAGGACTGAGCGACCGCGTCTTTCTCGTCGCGTTGTCTGATGACAACTGAGCGGTTTTGAAACGGAATGGTTGCGAGTCGCGAGTAACCGGAGTAGCGTGGTTGCCCCCTCCACTCGACCGGTACTTGACGGTGTTGTCGAGAAAATCCGCGATTATATCGGTCAACACACCGCAGGCTCTACCGCGAGACACCGCAGCTGTGATGCGGCAGAGCCTAATTCTGACCTCCTCAACTTTGACCGGCAACCGAAGTAATTAAAAAAAAACTTGGTATATTCATTAGTCTTCAATCTTATATGTACATATTTTTAATTCGAATAAATCTAGTTCATTAATGAATTGGAATTCTACAAAAACAGTAGAGTCGCTTGTTAAATGGAGTAGTAAAGTAAAGAAATTGAGTTCGAAATTTAGAGATAGAGATCTCATTGCACACACCCACAACAGCCTTTCGACTATGTGATAGAGATGATATTTCTGACATGAACCATTTCAAAAGGTGTGGCCAAACCGATCTAGTTTAAATAAAGCTTTAAACTCAGAACCGTTTGAGCAAAAAGACATGTTAATATTTAGAATCTTAACAGTAATTGCGGAGACCTTTTTTGAATACCAAATCGCGGAAACTACCGTTTTTTATCGCTGACTCAAAAGACGAACGACGAAACTTCTTTGGACCTTATGATCAGCTGCTATAAAGTTAATTTTTGTACGCGACAAACATGATTTGCCCGGATCTATTCGTTCAACAACTTAGTCCTTAACTCGGTGATCTTAAAATTGATTTTCGCTCGTTTATCATAACTTATCACAAATTAAAATATTCGATGGTGTGTTCAGAGTTAATCCACGAAATTCCGAACCGGTTTTATGAAATCACCACATCGACGTCACATTGTAGACTGTGCGTAAACAAACAAGCTTTTTAAATCCAAACATTAGAGATATACGATCGGATTTAGATGATTACAACTTTTAATAACGCATGCTTCTATTGTATTGTGGATATTTTAGGGACAATCATTACGATTGTATTTTCGTACAATAAATGAATAATCAATAATTAGGAGTCGTTGTGGCCTAAAGGATAAGAAGTCCGGTGCATTCGTGTTGAAGTGATGCACCGGCGTTCGAATCCCGCAGGCGGGTACCAATTTTTCTAATGAAATACGTAGTCAACAAATGTTCACGATTGACTTCCACGGTGAAGGAATAACATCGTGTAATAAAAATCAAACCCGCAAAATTATAATTTGCGTAATTACTGGTGGTAGGACCTCTTGTGAGTCCGCGCGGGTGGGTACCACCACCCTGCCTATTTCTGCCGTGAAGNCTTCCACGGTGAAGGAATAACATCGTGTAATAAAAATCAAACCCGCAAAATTATAATTTGCGTAATTACTGGTGGTAGGACCTCTTGTGAGTCCGCGCGGGTGGGTACCACCACCCTGCCTATTTCTGCCGTGAAGCAGTAATGCGTTTCGGTTTGAAGGGTGGGGCAGCCGTTGTAACTATACTTGAGACCTTAGAACTTATAAAGGACTTGGACGTTGCCCATGGACTTCAGCAATTCCAGGGACAGAGCCAAGCCGCTGTCTACCGTTATAAATTCGACTTAATATTAAAAATACGATGAAGCTCTGAAAATGTTAGTTTTTTTAGTGATTTTACTATCTCAGATAAGAAGATTAACGCGCGCTGCACTCCGAGCCGCCAAATACGGTTTTTATGAATGTATACAATTATTAAAATGTATATCTGTGGTTTAAAACTTGATACAGATCTTTTATAAGTATTTTTTATGGTCAACCTAGTGCTGAGTGGTTACCGAAGACCTGCCTATTTCTGCCGTGAAGCAGTAATCTTAACTATGTGAAATTGATAGATAAATAAGCCTGCCTAATTTTATACTTTACACAGATTATATCTCTCAAACCCATATTTAATTTTCCTAGTGAGTTCCAAACTTCAAAATCGAGATACAGTATATAAGTGTAGGAATACCTTACGGCGACTGGACAGGTATTATATTTAACTAAGCTATATTGAACAAGTTAAAATTTAGTGCATTAGTTTAAAGTCTTTACTTGTTTGAAGTTTGTACAAATCTTAGCTTGATTTCGACATCACTTTTATTCCGGAAAACTCCAGATACTTGTGGAAAAATACGATAAGGAATATAACGAAATTAAATAAATAACTTTAAAGATTAACATACAAACTAGATATACTACAAACTGTGTAGATTGAAAGTGTTGCTAATGTTGAAGTGATATGTATTCGATCTAGAATCAAGAATACACAAATGTCTACGCAGTTCACAAATATCAAATGTAAAATATATTTTTACTGGTGGTAGGACGTCTTGTGAGTCCGCACGGGTAGGTATCACCACCCCGTCTATTTCTGCCGTGAAGCAGGAATTCGTTTCGGTTTGAAGGGTGGGGCAGCCGTTGTGACTATACTTGAGACCTTAGAACTATATCTCAAGGTGGGTGGCGCATTTACGTTGTAGATGCTTATGGGCTCCAGTAACCACTTAACACCAGGTGGGCTGTGAGCTCGTCCACCCATCTAAGAAATAAAAAATAAAAAAATTACAGTGTCAATGCCATCTCCCAGCGTGAGGTTGAAACTCCGTTCGTATTATCCAACGGTTCAACCGATGTTTTTTTTTTTATTGCCCTTGTAGGCAGACGAGCATACGGCCCACCTGATGGTGAGTGGTTACCGTCGCCCATGGACTTCAGCAATGCCAGGGGCAGAGCCAAGCCGCTGCCTACCGCTTAATACTCTCCACAAGCCTCGTTTGAAGAAGGACATGTCATAGCGCTCGGGAAACACCGTGGAGGGGAGCTCATTCCATNTCAGCAATGCCAGGGGCAGAGCCAAGCCGCTGCCTACCGCTTAATACTCTCCACAAGCCTCGTTTGAAGAAGGACATGTCATAGCGCTCGGGAAACACCGTGGAGGGGAGCTCATTCCATAGCCGGAATGTTTCAATAGCCGATGTGTTTACGTTTAATAAAATTAAATATCTACACCACAATTCATGTTAAGTAAGTTGAAAACTTCTTCAGACTACCCACGTTCACACCGCTTGTGGCAACGGCACTGCAAGATCGGCTGCGGTAGGCAGCGGCTTGGCTCTGCCCCTGAAATTGCTAACGTCGATGAGTGACGGTAACAATTCACCATCAGGTAGTCCGTATCCTTATCTGCCTACAAGAGAAATAAAAAAAAAAGATCTGTAACTGGAAAATCTTGGTAAGCGTCTCGTCAAATCAATGTAATCGGTTACAATTCTTTGCCCTTTGTGAAAAGTTTTTCTCATAGTACTATTAAGGTATGCGAAGCGGCAAATAATTTCAATGAATCGATGAAAATGATACATTCGGGGAGCACGTTTTTTTAATTTTTTTATTGCTTGAATAAGTGGACGAGCTCACAGCCCACCTGGTGTTAGGTGGTTACTGGAGCCCATAAATGTGCCACCCACCTTGAGATATAAGTTCTAAGATCTCAGTATAGTTACAACGGCTGCCCCACCCGTCAAACCGAAACGCATTACTGCTTCACGGCAGAAATAAGCAGGATGGTGGTACCTACCCGCGCGGACTCACAAGAGGTCCTACCACCAGTAAGAAACGCACGTTCGAAATGTAGCAGCAACTAATAAAATACACCTACCAAATTCAATAAAGTGTTTGTGCAATAAATAATATTAATAAATTGGGAACAACTCACGCACGGTCATCCAGTCCCAGATTAGGATTCCCTGTGCTATGGATACCAGAGGCTGACATACATACTTAATAATATAATAATAATAATAAATAATAATAAAGCCATTTAATCCAAATCTCACTCTCGATTTATAACACAATGTTTGTTAGTAAGTTGTAGCTTAAAATTAAAGAGGTTACTTATAAATTAATTAATTATTTAATATTAGTACTATTTATAAGATTTGGACCCCTATTTGGGTAAAGGCCTCCTCCATCCTTTTCCATGCTCCCTGTCTTGGCCTGGTTTTATCCAGTCGTTTCCTGCGACATGTGTTATGTTATCAGCCCATCGTCTTAATTGTCGACCAACATTCCTTTTCCCTATTGGTCATTTCCATCGTGTGGCTTCAATGGTCCTTCTTTTGTCTGGGTATCGTGAGATGTGTCCGGCCCATCTCCACTTAAGTGGACATCGACATGCACACTTATATATGTTTAAATATATATTTATGGATAATAAATACCCAGACAAAGAGCAAACAAACCTGTTTACCACACGAATGCTTGTCTGATGTGGGAATCGAACCCACGCCCTTCAGTGCAATAGTCAGGGTCGCTAACTATTGCACCGTCGAGTCAGTCACATTTTACTGGTGGTAGGACCTCTTGTGAGTCCGCGCGAGTAGGTACCATCACCCTGCCTATTTCTGCCGTGAAGCAGTAATGCGTTTCGGTCTGAAGGGTAGAGCAGCCGTTGTGACTATACTGAGATTTTAGAACCTATATCTCAAGGTGGGTGGCACGCTTACGTTGTAGATGTCTATGGATTCCAGCAACCACTTAACACCAGGCGGGCTGTGAGCTCGTCCACGCATCCACACAATATATTTTTTTAATATCTTTTTCATAAAATTTTCCTTTAACTATCCACGTAGGTATTTGCATATTCCGTAATTTGCAGTGCAGTTTGGCCTAAGGGCAGAAGTTGCGTTACAAGTATATATGAATAATTAAAAACACGTTAATCACATCCGTATTGCATTTAATGTAGTTCCGCGAAGTGTTATTTTATATTATAACTAGATGACCCGGCAGACCTCGTAGTGCCTCAGTCAATAAATAAAAGACCTAAACTTTATTTAATTCCGAGAATTTTCATGTTTATCTACCTTTTAAACCTTCTCTGGACTTCGACAAATAATTCAAGACTAGAATTAGTCAAATCGGTCCAGCCGTTCTCGAGTTTTAGTGAGACTAACGAACAGCAATTCATTTTTATATATGTACCTATATAGATAAACAAAATGGTATTTTAATATTTAATGTACCCTATTA